GGCTTACTTGCTACTGAAGATGAACAATGGCAGACTTGCTCCCTCTCCCCTGACCCTGTTCCATTTCCCACTGCCTCCCTGCTCCAGCTGGCCTCTGTGAGGTTCCTCCAGAGCTGCATTCTGCCTCTCATTCCCATGTGAGACCATTCAGCTCCCATTCCCCATCACAGTCACACTGCCTCCCAGTGGGGAGCTATTCAAAGTCATCCATCATGCACCTCAACATTCTTGTAACCTCTGCTCATTTACAAATTTCAATTCTAAAAACACTCCCAGTTCTAACTATTTGTTACAGCAATACTCTACCTAAAATCAATATCAAAATCTATATAAGTTGCTGAAACAGATGACTACAAATGTGGAGACTTTAAACAACAAAATTTACAATTTGTATCTCTGGATTAGGAATCCAAAAATCAGGGTTCAAGGGTAGAGCATATATCTTGCATGCATAGGCACCCAAGTTCAAATTCTGGTACCACCAGATATATAGGCCTGGAATCCCCCAAGCAGTAAAAGGTGTGACCATGGTAGCCCCTAGCACTTCCAGGTCTGAGTGACACTACATCACTGAGTCCAAGCATTGGACTATCTGGGTCTGTTGACCGAGTATCAACGGGAATGGCCCCTGGATCCTCTGAGCTGTTTGGGAGACTAGAAATCAAACAAAACCAAAACTAAAAATCAGTTTCATTCGTGGCCAGAGCCACAGTGAAAAGTACAGCGGGTAGGGTGCTTGCCTTGCACAGGGGCAAGCTGGTTTCATCCCAGCACCATATATGGTCCCCTAAACCCAACAGGAACAACCCCTGAGTGCAGAGCCAGGAGTAAGTCCTGAAATCAAAAACAGACATTAAAAATCAGTTTCACTGGGGGACTGAAGCAATAGTACAGCAGGTAGGATGTTTGCCTTGCACTCAGCTGACCCAGGTTCAATCCCTGGCATCCCATATGGATCCCCAAACACTGCCAGGAGTAATCCTTGAGTGTAGGAGCCAGGAGTAACCCCTGAATATTGCCAAGTGTGACCCAAAATCCAAAACAAACAAAAAATCCATTTCATTGGGCTGAAATTAAGGTGTTGGCAGGATTGCATTCTTTCTTGAGGCTCTAAGGGAAAATCTGTTTCCTTGTCTTTTCCAGTTTCTAGAAGCTGTCTGCATTTGCTGGCTTCTGGCCCCTTCGTCCAGCAAAATGCATCACTCTGACTTCTACTTCCATCATCACATCTCTCTCCCCCCTCTTTGTTTTTTTTTTGGCGGGGGGAGGTTGTTTCGGGGTCATACTTGGCATTGGGCTTTGAGGACTGCTGGTTAAGGGAACAACCCTTTTTCCCTATGGACTGCCATGCCCTTCCTGTCCACCTTTGGCTTCTTTTCTCCCCTTTGAAATCACTCTTGTTGGGACTCAAGGGACTATATGGGTGCCAGGAATAGAACCTGGGCTGGCCACGTACAAGGCAAGCACCCCATCTGCTATACTATCTCTCTGCCACACCCCCCATCCTATTCCCCCTTCTAAGGATGCTTGTAATTACACTGAGCCTAGATGGATAATCTAGGATAATCTTTCCAGTTCAAGATCCTTAACTTAATCACATCCACAGAGGCTCTTTTGCTATGTAAAATTCATAGGTTTGGAGGATTAGATGCTGAGCATCTAACGGAATCATTCTTCTGTTTACCAGAAGGGGTGGTATTGCTTCACCAAGTTCAGCCCAAAAGGTTTGTCTAAGACTGAGGGGTTACTTTGGGAGGGAGGGCAAGGACGGAGGCATTATTTTTGACTGATACTCTGGCTGGGGCTGGCGGGGGTCCAGAGTTCCAGGAAACCTAGTGCCTGGCCCTGCTGCTGCCAGGAACAGCCTGTTCTCCCGATGTGGCCACCATGCAGAGGTCAGGTGCATTTGAGGCCTTGCAGCAGCTGCAGCTCCACTTAAACAGCTGCTGTCTTGGGGAGGGAGTCTGGCCCCCACAGCTTCCTTGCCCTTCTGACCAGAATAGATGAGTGCCGCTGCCAGGTCAAAGTACAGGGGAAATACAGCACAATTTTAGAAACTGTATGCACTGGTGGATATTTTCTGAGCTCGACTGAGCTACAACAGACAAGCACAGGGCCCCAGAGACATAAAGAAGGCAGGTCAGTTTCCAAATGCCCAAGGTAGAATGCCACTGGTGCTGGCAGAGGTATGGGCAAGGGCATATGAGGTGAGCACAGGAATCAGGGTGGGTCTTTCACAAGAGGCAGCCTTGCCAGCCACACATGCTAGGGGAAAAGGCAGCTCAGATACAGAAGGGAGCACCAAATAAAGGGTGTTGGGAGGATCCTCCCAGGATGGGAGAAGCATGCTGAAAGTAGACTATAGACCAAACATGATTGCCACTCAATGCCTCTTTTGCAAACCACAGCACCCAAAAGGAGAGAGAGAAAAAAAGGGAATGCCCTGCCACAGGGGTGGGTGCGATGGGGGGATGGGGGGTGGGAGGGACACTGGGATCTGTGGTGGTGGAAAATGGGCACTGGTGGAGGGATGGGTATTTGATCATTGTATAATTGAAACCCAAGCACAAAAATCTGTAAGTCTACCACGGTACCTCATGGTGTTTCACTAATTAAAAAAAAAAATAAAATAAAAGAGGCAGTCTTGGGGCTGGAGAGACAGTCAGACCTAAGGTGCTTTCCTTAAGGACAGTCAACCCAGTTTCAATCCCCAGCACCCTATAGGGCTCCCTGAGCCCCTCGAGGAGTGATCCCTGAATGCAGAGCCAGGAGTAAACCCCACTCACTGCTGGGAGTGGCCAAAAACAAACAAACAAACAAACAAAAACCAAGCCAAAAAAAAAAATATATATATATATATCAGGCAGTCGTTATGCTGCAGCTTGAAAGGGAGTATGATTTGAACTGGCACTGGTGAGCAAGAGTTTTCACTGCCAGGGCAAAGGGAAGGACAAGTGTTTAGGGAATCGAGAGTTCCATGGGGAGACTGAGATTCCAGGACAGAGGAGAAAAGAAGCCAGAGGTGGGCAGGAGGGACATGCCAGTATGCAGGGTAAAAGGGTTGTTCCCTCAGCCAGCAGTTCTCAAAGCTCATCAGCAGTTTGTTCCCATTCAAGCGTTCTCAGAGCACTATGGGGGCCTTGGGGAGGGTCCCCAAAGCCTACCCATCACCATAGTCCCCCAGTTCTGCAGAGCAGAGACCACTCAGGTCATGGGGAGCCAGCTAACAGTTTAGGGCAGGGATTGGAAGAATGCATGGTCCAGTATCCAAATGGAGGGGTAGCGGGTAGGGCAGGAAAAGGCCTATTTCTTTTTAGGTTAGGGGATTGAAGGGGGGACACATTTCAATAAAGCAGCTCAATGAGAAACTCCTGAAGAAACCCATGGGCAGCTGGAAAACGTGTAACAGTGAGGTGATGCTTTCTTAACTGTCAGCAGGGGGATGGAAATGCTCTTCTGGATCACCGTGAATCAGACTCCTGTACCCTCCACCATGCAGAGGTGGGCTGTGGGAGCTGAGGCCGCTGTCTGAGGAGCCAGCAGAGCCTGGACGCTGTTCACTAATTCCACATTCTCTGGCTGCTCTGCCTTCCGCCCAGGGAGAGGAGAGAGAAGGGCAGGCAAGCCCAGCTTTCCCTAGATGGCTCCAGAAAACATACTGACTACCCTGACCTGAATCTTGTTATGCTCAGGCCCTGGCAAGGAGGGAGAGAAGGGGCTGAGGAGAAGTGGCGGCCACCAGGCTACAGCCTTCAGGTGGCTCCATTTCCAGAGAGCCTTCCCTCCCTCTGGGACTGCAGTGTCTCTCCGGTCTTGGTGCGAAGCAGCAGACAGTACAAAAGGGGGCCTTCCATACACCTGCCCTCTGCCACAGGCAAGAAAAATGCTTGTCAGGCCACAAATGGTGCTTCCCAATTGGCTTGCCACGCCCTCCTAGAAGAAAAAGCACTTGGTCCCATTTCTCAGCCTTGGAAACCAAGGTCGAAGGAGGTAAGGTCATCTGCCCATGTTGAGATCCTGGGAAGGGCCAGATGACAGGATCTGCCCTGGTGCAGGCTGATGTCACCCCAGCACCATAGCCCAATACTCATGGCCCAGAACAGACCATGGCTGCAGGCCTGGCAGTAACTAGTGCCCCAGCCCCGCTAGTCTCCTTGGCCTGGATCTTTCTCCCAAGGGGTTAAGCCCCAGAGTTTTCTGAGAAGCTGTCTCCAAGGACAGCTCCTGCTCTAGTTACCCCAGCTGCCTCTCCATCATTACACACTCCCGGGGAACCATACCCTCATGCCTGCCAAGGCTTTTCCTCGGAAATGCATCTGAGGCCAGTATTCTGCGTCCAGCGAAACTGGCACTGGTTGAGATGCAGCCTAGGAGGCCAAGGGGGCAGAGACACCTGTGAGGTCAGGATAATACCCATGGGGACCCAGGCAAAGGTCAGAAAGCTTTATCTGGGTCCAATAAAGCAACCCTCACCCCCGCCGGTCCCCCTGTGATTCCAGGTTCTTCAGCAGTAGCCATGGGGTGAAGCTCTTGGCTCCTCCTCAAGGAAGCCAGAGGTAATCAGGAATCTGAGCAGCTGGGCAGGGCCAGACTTGGGGGATGGGGGCCCAAGGAGCGGCAGCACAGCCTCTGCTAAGGTAAAGGCAAGCCCCAGGCACAGTGAGGGCATCACTCAGACCAGGCATGATTCCCCAAAAGCAGGGACCCTCAGTCCCATTCCCTGCCCACAGTCAGTCCTGAGATCAGACCCTGTGCTCAGAATGAGATGTGGGAAGCATACCCAAGGCAGCAGCAGGTAGGCGGACCCTTGGGGTGAGCTCAGTGCCACACCCCCTGGCATTGAAATGAGGAGCACCCACACACTTTCCTCCACACTGCTTCATACTGCGTTCCCTCAATCCCCCAGCCCTGCTTAATCCAAGAAGTACCTTGGTGTGAGGGGCCAGGGAACCCACAAACATCAACAATACCTTAGATCACTGTCAGTCTCTTGACACTTTATTGTCACAACCCCTAATGTCGCCAAAGCAATTTCACGCACTGAGTCCGGAGTCACCGGCATGGAATGCTCTGAAGCGATGGAGCCACACTGGGCTCCTGTGTAGCTGAAAAGCCAGATCCTGGCTCTTTGCTGCCCCACGGAGACCTCTGTCCTTGCTTCTCCCCACAAGTCTCCTAGAAACATAAGGGCACAGTAAATCACAGCGTGACGGGAAATGCCGCAAGCATCTTGGGTTCTGGATGATGCCATCCACCTCCTTCCAAGTAGCATTCCAGGAAGATGAGTCAGCCAGGCACTGCGACAGTCTGGGGCCCTGGCCAGGCATCTGGAGGGCACCCACGCTGCGTCCCAGACCTCTGGATATGCAGGAACCGGGGCCTAAGAGACAGGGACAGAGGGCCAGTTATGCCTGGGCTCATGCATCCTGGAGTGGCATGGCTCCAGCCTGAGCTCATGTGAGTTAGGATCAGCAAGGATACTGGGTGGGGCAGATGGCGGTAGGGTCTCACCTCCCACAAAAGTCTTTGCGTACGGCAACAAGATCAAGGGACAGGTCAGGCCGGGTCTGAAGCCAGCTGTGAACAAGCTCTGGGTGTCTTGGGTCGACTTCTAAGAAGATGCTTCTACACAGGGGAGAGACAGGTCTGCTCAACATGGCAGGGCTGATACCTGGACTCTGGGGGTGACAGGTTGGAGGGGTGGGAATAGGATGATGGCCAGGACAGGCTCAGAGCACATTGGGAGGGCTGGAGAAGGATGCAGGGATAGACCAGAGAAACCCACTACACCATACCCGGAGTCCTTCAGGAGCTGAGGTGCCAGGGCTAGGATGTGGGCAATGACGTCCATGCCATCCTCCCCACCATCCAGGGCTTCCAAGTCTTCATAACTAAAGAAGGACAATGGGAGGGGAGAATCTGGAACGGGTGGCATCCACAAACTCTGGAGGAGCTGAGCAGTATCTCCTTGAAAGGGGCCCCTTGGGAGCGACAGTACAGCAGGTAGGGCATTTGTTCAATCCCCTGCATCCCATATGAGATTTGCCATGGGAATTGCCAGGAATTACTTCTGAGTGCAGAGTCAGGAGTAACCCCTGAGCATCACCAGGTGTGATCCAAAAAGGAAAGAAAAGAAAAGATAGGGAGGAAGGAAGGAAGGAAGGAGGGAGGGAGGGAGGGAGGGAGGGAGGGGGAGAGGGGGGAGAGGGGAAGAAAGGAAGGAAGGAAGGAAGGAAGGAAGGAAGGAAGGAAGGAAGGAAGGAAGGAAGGAAGTAAGTTAGTTCCTCAGGAGCTCTGCTCTGTATTGCAAACAAAACTGAGAAAGCAGCACCCACCAGGCTATTCCACTGGCCTGATATGGCTGCTCCTGTTCTTTGTCTGGGGAAGACCCGGAATTGGCCCTGACCACTCCTGAGACCCTAGAAATAGGAGCCAACATCCTGAGCCCCACTACTATAGCCTCATGTGGGGCTCTCCTGCCTCTGACTGTTCATGAGCAGAAACAGCTTCCTGGCTCCCCAACTAGGCCCAATAGGACCTTCTTCAAGGCGCCTTCCCTTTCTGGGCTTGTCTCCTCTGTAGAAAAATCGGCCCATCTGAGTACTTTCTCTGGACTCTGTAAGGTGTCTGCTGCTTTCAAACTGTTGCTAAGTCTGCCTGTGGCCCTGCAAAGCTCTTCCTCTTTCAGAGGTGGGAGCTGAAGGCTCAGAGAGGTTTCATGGTCATTCAGTGCTCCTGAACTGGACGGCTGAAGGAGCCCAAATGGGTCTGTGGAATCCAGAGCAAGCATCTCTCATCAACCCTGACCCTTGCAGCCTTCCCATCCTCCCTGCCCCTCCAGTGGTGCAATCTTCAGGGTACACCCATCCCACCAGGTCTTCCAGACCATTCTTGGGCCATTCTAGGCTCCCTGGTTCATCCTACCCTATACCTGCGAATTTCTGGAGCCAGCTGCTCCATGTCCTTGTGAAAGACGTAGGGAGGGTTGCTGACAACCAGGTCCAGAGGGCCCCAAGGCAAGAGCTGCATCCAACACCCCTCTATGGTCAAAGGGAACACACAACAGAGAAAGGAGACAGGGAAGTAGGTGAGAAGTTGCTCTCTGCAAGTCACACCCTCGTCTGATCTCTGGATGTGGTTGTCCACACACACGAATCAGTGCCTCGCTGGACGTGTGTGCACTGACACGGCAGGTCTGCACCTGATGTTCTGGCCTCTCTTTTTTCCTGTCGAAATCTCCTTAATAAGCCAGAATCAGAGGGACTGCCATCTTAGGCAGTCCTCCCTGATTGCCGAGGCAAAGCAAGCACCTATGTCCTCTGCAGTGAGTGAGCATGGGCCGAGCATATGCAGAGCAGGCCTGACTTCTCCGACCTGATTTCTAGCATCTCTATTTACAGATCTCGGCCTGTGCCAGGGGCTACTCCAGATTCATCACATTCCTAGGGGGGCCGGAGAGGGCAGCTGAGGCCCAGGGATCCACAGTCATGTGACAGAGTCAGAACTGGAACCAGAACCCTGAAGCAGCCTGGAAAGGTTCCAGTGAGCCAAGCAGGGCCCAGGCCAGGCAGGAGCTCCAGTACTTTGGTCCTAAGGACTTTCTTTAGACTTTTGCTTCTCTCTAGCCAAAAGTAGCTACTAGAATTACACTTACTAGCTACGGGAGACACAGATGGTAAGAGAGACCTTGTGGGTAGTCCCTTCCTGGATTAGGCAGCCCAGGAAGCAAGAGGGATTTGCTCATCCTCAGCAAAGTTTGGTCTGAGACACTCTGTGTGTGTGTGTGTGTGTGTGTGAGCGCGCGCACACGCGTGTGTGCACGTGTACTTGTGCGTGCTCACGTGGCTGTGTATTCTAGCAAGGTTTGGTCTGAGACACTCTCTGTGTGCATCTGCATATGTGTGGTACCTATACCTAGAAACCCCCTCCCAGGAAAGGTACCTAAGGTCACATCGAGGGGGATGATACGAATCCTGTCTTGCAACCGCAGCCTGGAGAGAAGAGAAACAATAGTGAGAAAGGGACAGGACCTACCCTCTGCTACAGGGACTGGCAGTGACCCTTTCCTGGACTGGTGAAATTCACGGAACCCTCCAACTATTCAAAACCCTGCAGGACCGCGCCAGGAACCCCAGTTTCTCCACATTCAAGAAAGTGGGCTTGCTGCCGCATAGGGGAAGAGGTCAGGCCCCACAGGGCAGCTCTGTCCTCGCTGACCCTGCAGCCCCCCAGCCTGCCTACCTCTCAGCATTCTCTCGGGTCAGGCGGATGGCGGCTTCTCCCTTCTCCACAGCAATGACTCGGCTCTGCCCAAGGGCAAAGTGGGGTAAGGAGGCAGCCAGGAGGGTCTGGGAGAGCCAGGCCTGGGGCCAAAGCCCTCCTCCAACCTTCTACCAGAAGAAAATGGAAACTCCCAACAGCCTTCCTCTCTGTGGCCAGGGTCTGACCATACAGAAGGGGACAGAATTAGAGGTTGTGACCACAGGGGGCTGGAGGTGCTCCCAGCAGGGACAGTAGGGGAGGAATGCAAAGGCTCACCTGGGGAAGCTGGCTCAGCAGGCTGAGGGCGATGGCTCCTGACCCACAGCCCACCTCCAGGATGAGGGGGCCACCTGGGCTTCCCACAGCACAGGCCCTCTGGCTCACCTCCAACACCCATTCGACCAGCTCCTGCAGGGCAGAGGGGTCTGACTCAGAGAGGCGCCCACCTGGTGGCACAGTCAGTTCCTGTGCTAGTACCCAGGGACCAGCTAAAGTCAGACCAACTCGTCTGCCAGGCCCTGCCAAATCATTCCTCATCTTCTTGCCTATTTCTCCTGGTTAACTGAGTACAAGTCAAACTAGCCTACTTTACCAGGATGTGGTAGGGAATAGGGGGCCCATGCCCAGGAAGCACTAATCTATGCTGGTACCGAGCCCCCAACAAGTCTTCTGTCACTGAGCAATGTGAACAACTATATCTGAGGCTTCCAAGCGATCTCCTTTGTGCCTGGGCCAGCTTCTAGATCTTTCCCTGTATTAATGTATTGGCATCTCACTTCTGAACCATGAGAAAACTGAGGCCCTGCCTTAAGCCTGGCCTATAACTCATGATAGCCAAGAATCAAGAGCTTAGGGACTAGAGAGATAGTACAGTGGATAAGGCGTTTGCCTTGCTCGTGGCCAACCCGGGTTTGATCCCCAGTATCCAATATGATCCCGAGTACCACTAGGAGTGATTTCTGAGTGCAAAGCCAGGAATAACCCCTGAGCACTGCTGGGTGTGGCCCCAAAACAAAACAAAAAAGAATCAGGGGTTTGTATGTTTCAGTTTCCTCAAAACTGAATCTGCCCTTGGGGAAGATCCTAGACTAAAGGGACAGAAAAGTCCCTCCATGAATAGGGCAGAATATGGTCCTGCCTGAACCCCGTACCTGAAGGGGGTTGTGGCACAACAGGCCCACAAAAAGTGGGCATGGAGTGGCGGGTGGTGCCTCATACACTGCACACACTGTGGCAAAGGCAGCAAGGGGATACTCCCAGACAGTATCACTTTATTAACAGAAGGGTCTTGCCTAGCCGCCCACCCCTGGCAGGATCTGTGCATGGAAGTCCATCAGGGTTAGGATTGATACTTCCCAACCAGTAGAGTGGCAGGCAACTGAGCAGCCAGGGAGGAGGCCATGAAAGGCCTGAGTAGACCCCTAGAGATTGGAGACCACTGAGGCCCCAAGCTGGGCAGGCTCCAGAAACCAGAGGCATGAGTGAACAAACGCCTAGAGCCTTTCCCCCAAACACACACACACACACACACACACACACACACACCCTGCTCCCTCACCCACACACGCAGGCCCAGTCATTTACTCCGCAGCTTCTTCTATGAGTTCAGGGCCTAGGTTGGGGTTTACCAATCCCTAGGAAAGCCAGGCCCTAACCCATTAGTGTTACCCACATCACAGAGGCCTCCTGGCTGTTTCCCCAGTGCTGGGCAAGCTCTGGGTGGTTATGGGATGCTACTCTGAGTCCCAGGTCCCCCAGGCCCCCAAAATCCCCACACCAATTGTCCAAGTGGCTCCAGGCCACTTGGATCCAATTTTCCATTCAAGATGCTCTGTCCTTAGTCCCTAGAAGAAGTATTTTCTTCTGAGCACCCCACAACTGCAGGAGCAAAGCACACCTGTCCCCAGTGAAACAAGTTCTAGGTAAACTTGACCTCTGAGTCTAATCCTGTCCAAGCCCCTTCAGCACCAAGCAACTACCTACAGGTGAGACATGGCTCCAGCCAGAGAAATCTTCTCTCACACTCCCACAGGCTCTGTAACCAGGCACTGGTGGAGACTCCAGGGTGCTGGCCACAAAGCAGAGCCCACAGGCCCGGCACAGAGCTAGCAGTGTAGGCTGTGGCTGAGCCTGTGGTCTCACTGGTGAGGCCGCGTGCCGGGCTGCTGGCGGCCCGCTGAGACCTGTCAGGGGTGTGGGCTTCTCTTGGTTTCCTGACCACAGACAGATCTACCCTGACTGGAGAATGACCCCTCAGCCAGCACCAAGGCCAGGCACCCCACAGAGATCCCCACAGTCTCAGAGACACACACAGAGGTGAACGGCCATGGCCATCACGAGCGAGGTACAGAGCTGAGAGACTGGGGCAAGCAGCGTCTCCCTTATAGTCCAGACCACAAAAAGGATCATCTTTGGCAGAGGGAACCCTCTTGGGGGTTTTAGTGGAGGCCATTCTTGAAGTTCAAAAGCTTCTGCATCCAGGGAAGAGCCTTTCTCAGTCTAAAGCTGTTGACTTGGAGGCTGGAGAGGGAGGACAACTGGTAGGGCACTTGCCTTGCACATGGCCAACCCAGGTACAATCACTAACATCCTATAATGTCCCCTGAGCACTGCCAGAAGTGATTCCTGAGTGCAGAGCCAGGAGCACCCCTGAGTATCGCTGGGTATGGCCCAAATACCAAAAATTAAATAATTAATTGAAATAGAATGAAGAGAAAGTTAGTGTATCAGAAATGGAACTGAATGTAACTTCTGATCCTGAACTTCTGGGAGTCTCTATAAAGAAGAAAATGAGGGCCAGGATGATAGCTCAAAGGAGTAGAGTACATGTTAGGATTAGATCCCTGCCACCACCTGCTTCCCCAAGCCCCACTGGGAGAGACTCCTAAGCATTGCCACGTGTGGCCCATCTCTACTTCCCACCCTGCACACATCCAAAACAAGAGGGAAATTTAAGGATGGGTGTGGCCCAAAAACACTGAAAAAAATTAAAAAGCTGTGGCTCTTTGGGGGAGGTCATAGAAAAGACGGTCAGTCCCATCCTCCCGAGGGACAAGGGAGAAGCCAGCATGATGCAGAGCTGGAGGAGCATTCAGGAAGGAGGCAAGGAGCAGGCGGCCCAGACCACCACCCACGTTCAGAGACAAGTGAAGACCAGCATTTCGAGAACCTTCCCTTCAGATCACCTCTGGCTGGCAGCCCCAGGATGGTGCTTTTGCCTCCTTCAAGCTAGTGTCAAATGATACGCTGAGACTCCCCATCAGGCTGCGGGAAATGGCTCACGCTTTCAAGCTTGGGTTTCCCACTGTACACATGTTGGGACCCAGCCCCGAACGCCCCCAGGGAAAACCCCACTTGCTAGGCCACATGCTGCCTATGGCTTCACACTTCAGCCTTTGGCCTCCGCGATCAGAAACCACCCTCCAATGGGTGAGGTGCCAGGCACCACGATCCCTCCCCTGCACCCATTCTCCCCACTCTCTGCCACAGGCCACGTCCTCTTAAGTTCTTGGTAATACTCCCCCAATGTGGTTTATATTGGGGTGAACCTGGCAAATTCTCAGAAATGCATGTACCGTGAAGCAAGAACCCAGCCTCCAACCGCAGCCTCCCCCTCGCAGCAGAGCTGCTCTCCTGGCCCACACCCACCCAGGAAAGAGGGGACCACACAGGAGCCGGAAGACCACACCCACCTCTCAGAACTCCCAAACACACCGCTGGTGCTGGGTCAGCTCTAAGGAGACACGAAGGTCACTGCGGTTGCTTCCCTCCCCTGCCCTACCCTGCTCTACCCTGAGCAGCCTCGGTGAGTGGCCGCCTGGCCAGAGGTCACACACCCAGGGCAGTGCCACAGTGGCCTCCCAAGAGCCTGCAGGTGGCAGGCCAGATCCTGAGCTGGGACTCTGCAGCTGGTTTAAACTCATCCCAAACTGGGTAGGCAGCCCCACGGGAGAATCAGAACCCTGACCTAGAGTCAACAAGTCTCAGTGCCGCCCCCATAACCCCCACCCTTGACTGCAGCAAGGCCACAGACTCCCTACAGCCCCTTTCCTGGGCAGTGAGGTGAGGACCTAGGTTCCTAAACACATGATAATGAGGTGAATGGGACCAGAGGGTTTCTTGGTTGAGGGAGAGACAGAAAGTGATGAGGAGCTCTGGGCCCATGGCTGGAGCAGGCACTCGAGGACAGTCTTTCCCTGGAATGCTTCTTTCCAGAAATACCCTTTCTCAGAATCTGGAGCCCTCTGACTTGCCCACTGGTCCCCACCCAGCCCCATCCACTTGTTCTGTCTCCCACCTCTGCTCCCTATGAGATCAGGAACGTCCAAGAAAGGCTATGGAAAGCCAGGGTCAAGAGGCTTCCGCAAAGGACAGCAGTCTGGAGTCCACATCTCCGAGCCCTAGTAACCTGAAGCAACTCCCTGACTGGATCCTGGATCCGAGAGGCCTACCAAGGCACACACTTCCTGATCTGAAAGTCTATCCTTTTCATCATCCAAGTCTGGAGAAGGTTGTGACCTGATTGAGTCACATGGCTACACTGCCCCCACTGTCTCCTGAGAGAATCTCTGTCTGCGATGAGCCGGCTAGGCCATAGTTCTAGGGGACAGATCCTAGGGAAATGCTAGGAATAGGCTGAGCAGTTAGTGAGCAACACTAGTTGGGGCACCTGAGACCTGGGGTGATACTCTGGAATGTGAAGACAGTCAAAAAAGACAGAATCTTGAATCAGAGTGACAGTACAGAGGAGAGGGCGTTTGCCTTGCACGCAGCTGACCAGGGTTCAATCCCTGGCATCCCATGTGGTTCCCCGAGCACCGCCAAGAATAATTCTTGAGTATAGAGCCAGGAATAATCTCTAAGCATCACTGGCAATGACCAAAATAAAATTTAAAAAGTAAATTAAAAGAATTTTTCTGAGAGATTTGGGACCTGAGAAGTAACTCAAGTATCAAGTCTGGAGTAGCCCCTGAGCACCGTCAGATGTCAAAAGACCCAAATAAATAAATAAATAGACAGCAAGAGACCTCTGCCCTCTTGGCCCCATCTGCACAGAAGTTAGAAAACACCAGTATGAAAGGGCACAATCTCAGAGGAAGCAGTCATGTGGCCCCAGCGCCCCCTGAAGGAAGTCTAGGGTAAAGCAAGTATTCTGAATCCCTAGACTCATCCCCAGTGAGCCTTGCCCGTGGCCGACCTACCTCTGTTTCTGGCCGAGGGATGAACACTGGGGGTGCCATCTTCAGAGTGAGCCCTTGAAAGTCCCACTCACCGAGAATGTACTGCACAGGCATCCTGCGTAGGGAACAGCTGGTCATCAGTACTAGAGCCTGGACAGGGCTACACCAAGGGCATCCGGGAAGGGCCAGTCCTCCAGAACTAGAAAAGCCCCTTTCCTTCCCTCCTTCCCGTTACCTGGATTCAGCCCTCCTTCCATCTTTTCCTAATCCCAATACTTGGCACATCTCCTCTCTGATCATGAACTTGGTAGGACTAGGGGGAAGTTGGACCCTTACTCCCCACATAGGACCCTCAGATTTGGCTCATGCTCACCTTTGCAACCGGCGGCTACTCAGCTCCTGAATGCACTGTACCTGCCCAGGCGTCAGGGGCTGGGTGTAAAGTACTGGCTTCAGACTCTGAAACTAGCCCACAGAGAATGTGAATGGCTGGCTCCCCTGGCCCAAGGACCTGCTCCAGCTTTCTTACGTGGACACTGCTTGTGGAATCAGCACTTATTTTTTCTGTTTTTGGGTCACACCTGGCAGTGCTTAGGGGACCATATGTGGTGCTGGGGATCAAACTAGCGTTGGCCACATGCAGATGAGCACTTTAACCCCTGTACTTTCTCCATAACCCAGCCCAGCCTAAGACATTTCTTCAGAGAAATCTCACCACCCCTCAGCTGTCTGGGCAGAGTGGAAAAGCCTGTCTCTCCCCCAGGCCCTCCCCCCCACTCCTGTCCTCTTGAAAATACCACACTTAACTGTTTTGGCTCCGAGGACATGAGCCACGATGTACTCACTGGATTCCCGAGCCTCGGGAATACCTCTTTTTTCAAAGACTGCCGTCCAGTGGTTAACCACCTCTGTGGCAGTCACAGGTAGATGGGGTAGCCATGAGCTGAAGCTTCGGGTACTTCTCCAACCCCCTGGGACAGATAGGAGAGCCCGGAGCATTCGGCCCCCAAGTTTCATGTCTCAGGGAAAGGTTCCCCTGAGTGCTTAAAGATCCCCAAGTCTTCCCTGTGATGTGTAGAGAGGAACAGAGGCAGACGGGGATGGAAAGGCAACGGGCGCTGGCCACCAACCTGGAAGACAGAATGTGGAGAACAGCTGATCGAGTGACCCACTGTCCCCTGACCTGCTGCTGCTTGAGATGCACCCTCTGGCTCTACCAACTTCTTTACTCCATTTTCGGCCCTCGCTTGCTATCTGGTTCTTTTTATCTTGAAACTTATTTAGAAAGAAGTGAGGGGAGAGAAAGAGAGAAGTACTTGCTCAAGAGAGAACAGAGGCTTCTCCAAAGTGGAAATGGGCAAAGAAACAGAGACAAATGGGATATGTGTTCCAGGGAGAACATGGGCTTGAATCTTGGATATTTATGTTTTCATCATGATCTTAGCTCAGCACCATTCCTGGTGCTGGGTCACAACTTAGGGAGCTGGATAAATCTGTTTGACCCACTCACTGAACCCAGTTACCTCAATCATAAAACAGGGGAAACACATCAACCCAATGGTGAGCAGTAAATTGGCCCTCGCATGAATACCTAGGACCTGGGAGGCAGCTCAACACATAGAAGAAACTCAAGTATTACCTGCTTTTAACTAATGTTACAACGCGGAAGAGACTGTGTTATCCAGGAAACTAGCTTTTGAGGTTTTACAGAACTCTCTCACGTGCATGCGCAAACCCCCCACCCTCACCCCCACTGAACCAATAATCTAAACTCAGCATACAACTGCCAACTGTAGCACTTGTAGCACTGTCCTCCCGTTGTATCGATTTGCTCCAGCAGGCCCAGTAACGTCTCCATTGTGAGACTTGTTGTTTACTGTGTTTGGCATATTGAATAAGTCACGGGTAGCTTGCCAGGCTTTGCTGTGCAGGCTAAATACTCTCAGTAGTTTGCAGGGCTCTCCAAGAGGGGCAGAGGAATTGAACCCGGCTCAGCCAGGCAGGCGGCTTGCAAGCAGAACGCCCTACCGTTGTGCTATCGCTCCAGCCCCACTGCCAACAATTATCACCAAATAGTTAAACTGAAGGTTTTCCGTTCCCCTTTCCTTTCACACAGACCAAGGTCCACACGAGCGTTTATTTGGGGTGCCACATCTTCAGAAGCAAAGGAGGGAGCATCTTGTGCCCATGTCACCCGGCCAGGCACTGTCCCACATGCGAACTCAGGTCCTCTGCATCCCAGAAGCAGCGCCCCAGCTGCAAGTCAAGGGTGCTGCTTCCCTGGCTCTGCGCACACGGCGCGGCCGATGGTGCAGGGCTGGTGGCCGCTCCCCAAGTCCATTTCCCCATCGAACAAAAAAAGGCAGAGAGGGGTCCCGAGGATACTGAGATCCAGCGGTCCCCTCCCCGGCCCTCCCCGGCTCTAGCACATACCTGCCCGAGAGGCTGACCCACCCGCCCAGCGCCCGGGTGGAAAAGCCTGACTCTCGGCTTCCGGCCGCACGGGCGCACCCTCGCACGCGCGGCTTCCGGAGCCGGCGCGGCTGAGAAACGGCTCGGGCGGAGCCCGCGGCCCGGCTCTAAGGTTCCTTAGGACCACTGACGGCCACGCGGGGCGGCTCCTGCCGGCTGAGGCTGGGCGGGGCGTGGGGGAAAGGTAGCGAACGCCAGGCTGACCGCACACTAGCGGGGCTGTGCGTGGGAGCGTACGAGGCTGTCCCGTGGGCTCCCAGGACCCAGCAGTCTGGGTGAAGGTCAGCGCGGAGATGGGCTGCGCGCGGACGTTGGCGTAACGGGAGGGCTTGTGGCCTGGTCCCCGAGGGGGCGTGTCAGCAGCCGGCCAGGGGGCGGTCACTGAATTGGGGGAGCGAAGTCCAGAGGCAGGATCTCGTGCAGCCAGAGCGCTGGGCCCAGCCCCTGAGCTGCCAGGGCTGGTCCCAGAGTTGGGGGCGGTTCCAGTTCGGGGGCTGGGACCCAATGTCCCGGATCCGGTCGAGCCAATGACCCGAGCGGCACTGGAGGGTCAGTCTCTTGACCGCCTCCCTTGCATTTTAGGGTTCGGATTAAAAAGCCTTGACACTCAACTTTGGACACCTGGATTCCAATCTTGACTCTGGTCAACCCAAGACTTCGTTCACGTGCCGGTCCTCTGTGGACACCCTCAACCGGAACTTATTGTTAACTAGATCACTGTGTTTTTTAAAACTTGGGGTGTGTTTTTTTCTTCTTCTTTTTTTTTTTTCAGTTCCTGGCTCTGCGCTCGGAGATCACCCGGGGTCGGGGGGACTTGAAGTCCCGGGGATTGAAATCGGATCATCAGCGTGCAAGGCTATCTCGCTGGTTCCAGCGAGATGATTCTTGACCATTTAAAACTTTCCTTTTCTCGGGCTCTGGCTCAGACCCGTGGAGCCACAGGAATCTTTATTTGTTAAATAAACAAATTTAACGAATAAATCCTTGTTAACTTTTCCTTGTACCTTGTTGGCTATTCCTACTCCCAGAGTCTTCAAAATCTCGTTCAAAAACCCGAGGATTAGAAGGGCTCTGATCTTCTGAGATGATCGGCCCTGTATGGTTGTTATTGTGGAGGGTTAAAAGGGGGGATGTATATGTAGGCTTTCGAGTGTCAGGGTGCCAATAATAGTACCACTCTGATAATCAAGTTTCTCTGGCTCCCAATTTTTCCGAACCCGCATGGACATTCTCCTATTCTAGCCTAGGGTCATTGTCGATTTGTCAAAAGCTCACACAGCAGACTCCATCTGGACGGGAGGGCGACACTCAGGGACTGGGGGTGTTTTTCTTTAGGTCACAAAACCTGGAGAGCGTCGAACCAGAGCTCAATGCAGGCTCAAGGACTCCCAGTCTAGTGCTCTCCCCAAGCCTCCTCTTTCCTCTGGGTTTTGGCAGGACAAATCTGTCTCGGGGGAGGTGGAGTCCCGGCAGGGCCTGCCTACCTACAGCGTGAGTGGCCCACCCGACTTCAGCGTAGAGCGCTGGATGAGAAGGGGTGGTCCCCAAGAGCCGCGACCCAGTACTACGCTTATGCTAAGGGCGGAGCCAGATCCAAGCGACAGGCGAGCGGACCAATGCCGAGCGCACTCGGTGCCTGACAGCCAATCGGAGACCGGGGGCGCGGAGCGGGCAGGGAGGCGAGACTCTGTTGCAAAGCGGACCCGCGAGGTTGCACGCTTCGACCCCACCCCCGTGGTGGGTCCTGACCGGGACGGTCCGGGACTCGTTAGCCGCTGCCGGCCGTGAGTGATTAGCGGGCCAGGTCCCCGGCTCGGCGCACGCCGGGAGAGCGAAGCACCGGTCGGACCCGCCGCCCCCACCGCGGGCCTGGCTGGTAGCCAACCACCCCTAGCCTCTTCGCCTGAGCTCGGCGCCCCAGAGAGGATTAAGTAAGTGCTGAGGTCGCTGCTTCTTTGCAAAAGAACAGAGGAATAGCGGAGGCGGGATGGGGATTGGGGCTCGGAGGACACAGGGACCTGGCGGAGAACGGTAGGCGGGATCTGGGAGGTCGCAGTTCAAGAATTCCCTCTCGTCCAGATCCTGAGACAGTCCCAGAAAGTGATGAGAAGGGTGTTTTCTCTGCTTTGGATGGTGAAGTAAACAGAGCCCTGGAGAGCGCGTTAAGGGTCTAGCCCAAGGTCAGTGACAGAGCCAAGACTCCTTACATGCCCAGAACACCGGACTCCTGAACTGCGCCTCGCCTGGCCAGAGAGACAGGGCAGAGATGGATGAGCCACTCTCCTTCCCTGTCCCTCTGCCGCCCTTGCACCCCAGGACGGATTCACTGTGGGGCTGCCGATACCTCACACACATACACTACACTGGACCACCCGCCTTTGCCCATGAGCTGGCAAGGGGAGGCATGTGCCATGTAGACATGGGCCATGTAGCACCTCCTGTCCCTAACTTGGCCCTTCTGTCACTTGCTAGGTCCCTCCAGTGCTGTCTTCCCCAGGGGCCCCTGGTTTGGGAAAGCCTGCCTGTGCCACACTCTGAGCTTGCAGTCTCCACACCTTCTTCTGTTCCCACAGAAGGAGGGAAGAGGGGAGGGCTGAACCACCTACACACACACACACACACACACACACACACACACACACACACAGTGGATGGCGGTGGTGCTGAGTTGAGTTTCCAGGGGACTGTTTCATTCTGACATTTCAGTGACCCTATAAGAGCTTCTTACTATCCCCTCCTAAGACCCACGAAAACCAACCCAGAGAGGTACAGACTTCCCCAAGGGTAGTCCGGGTGAGTGGTTGAATGGGACTTCAAGGACAGGCCCTTTGACTCTTGGGTTAGTATTTCCCTCCAGGAAAGGAAATACCTCCAGTATTTTTCCTCTAAGCAGGAGGTGAGGGTTGCTTATTGCAGGGGGTAAGGCGATTGGGGGCACCGGGAGTGGAGGGCAGGCATTACAAAGGGGAGAGACTTTTCCCTTCCAAGTCTTCCAGGTTTGATTGCTCTGATCATCTTGTCCACAAAAAGGTGGCAGGTTTCATTTTCATGCTTCTAAATTCCCATGTCCCCTGAATTTGCTTTTGCCTTCAAATTTATTTCCTTTTTATCTTCAAAGCTTAGAGAGTCTTTAATTCATCCCCGAGTCCCTGTCCTCAGCCTGATGGCTTTTCTTCTTTCTTTTCCAGAAACTATTTTCCAAGGAGGTGGCCACTTGCCCAGGTCGGGGGGGGGGCCCTTGCTGAGATCGTCCTGATGTCAGGAGTGAGTGGACAGGTTGACTGACTCCAGGCTGTCCCTTGGTTGGGCATTTCCTGTGTCAGCATGAACTCCAGGATCCCATCTGGCCGGGACTGGTTCAGCAGTCGCCCACCCACGCCTGAGTCTGACCTGGAACCTCCCACCGATGGGCCAACCTCCGAGACCACCACCCTCAGTCCGGAATCTACCAGCTTTAATGACACCAGAGTCCCTGATGTGGATGGAGGCCCTGGAGGTGTGGCCACAATGCTTCTGTCCTTTGGGATCATCACGGTGATTGGCCTGGCCGTAGCCATGGTGAGAGATGGGGTTGAGAGAGGGATCTTAGAGGGGAAGGGAGAAGGTTGGGCATTTAGAAGACAGAAGCAGATGGCAGTTGTCTTAACAATTGGGCAATTCTCCCTCTCCCCAGCGATTTGGCTTTTGCAGTTGAAGAGAAGCTGCCCTCGGTTGAGAGCACCAGAGCAAGTTCCGAGGAATTTGTGGCATTTTGAGCTGGGTCACAAAGGCCACATAGGAGTAGGGGAAGGGGGAGTGCCATGTGGATAGCTCTGAAGGCAAAAGTTTGGAGACAAACTGATTTCTGTGAGCAGCAAGCAGGATGAGGCAAGGGAGTCTGGGGAGTGTAGTAAGAATAGAGGCCAGAAGGAAGTCGGGATCACTTGTGGGGAGTCTAGATGGGTTACCCCAGATATGTCAGACAGTGGTCATTCATTTGCTCACTTGACAATTATTTACTGAACACCTGTTCTGGGCCAAACCTTGTGGCCTCAAGGATGGGGGAGAAAGTCCTGTGCTGGGCTGTTATGGAGAGGGGGGACAGATAAACCAGAGGTTCCCAGGAAAGCCATGGGGACTGGTCTGGAGGCTGAAGCAGAGGCCTTCTGAGGCTGTGTTAGCACTGAGACCTCAGGGAGGCAGCCTGACCCTAGCTCATGAGAAGGGCAGGGATAGAGGTGAATGGGGGTAGGCGTTGTAAGTCCCTGATCGTGGCTATGGTATGTCCAGATTTGGGGATCACTGTCCCTGAAGTGATGGTCTGTCCTGGAGGATGATATATGGACATTCAGAGGTCCCTCAGATTGTGCCACCTGAGACCAAAGAGCAGAGAGCACAGTGCCCAGGGCCCTCACAGCTTTGATAGCCAGGATCATAGCATGTTGCATGAACACAAAGGGCCAAGCTGGTCCCTCCAAGGCCTGGCTGGAGCTTCTGGTAAGCCAGGGTCGCCATATGGGCCCTGCAGGCTCAGGATTGCTGCCAGGGAACAGCTGCTGGCCAGGCTGCCGCACAGAGTGAGGCTGGGGCCTCAGCACTGTCCTGCAGTGGGGGTGGGCCCTCTGCGAGGGGGTCCCTATAATGCTCTGCGGCAGTTACACACACTACGACACTCCCATCCTCAGGGGCAAAGCAGGCCCTAGAATCTTCCCATGTGACCCACTGAAAGACTTTTGTCCTGGGAACTTGCGACAAGATTTTAGCCTCTGGAACTCTGTTACTCTTCAATCTGGTGGCAGATGACTCACCAAAAGCAGTATGGTGAAGAGATTACAGTGGTTATAGTGGTAGTGGAGCCAGAGGTGGAGGGGGCAAGGAACAGCTCGTGGGCACCAGGCACAGGTCCAGAGTTGCTCCCTAAGAGCTGCTGCCCCTCACCTCTAGCCCAACTCTTGTTGGATTGTGCTGGGTGCAAGGAGGCACACCTCAGTGCTGACCTGTGAGCATCACACTGGAGAACCAGGGTGAGGGGATGGGCAGGGGTCCTGGAGGAGGTGGGAGGGACTGCAGCTGGACAGTGAGGGATAGGAAAGATTTTAGAAAAGAGGGTGGATAGCTAGGGATAAAAATGATAAAGCACGTGCCTTGTATGTACGAGGTTCTAGGTTTTATCCCTAATCCTCAGTAATGTGCGCACACACACACACACACACACACACACACACACACACAGAGGCACAGAGAGAGGCACAGGCATGCACACACACGATGTGTTTGTAGGGGTAGGTTAGTGTCAGAAACCTCTCCAGAGTGAGCAGCAAGGATGAGGAGTGGAAATTGGGTAGAGGTTCTGGCCTCTCTTAAAGGTTCTTCTGTATCAAAGGCCACAGGCAAGGAGGGGCTTGGGGCCATTGAGGGGGAGTGTAGGCTACTGGGGCTGGAGCCACTGGCCCAGGCTGGAGCATCTGGAGCAGAAGGCCTGAAGCGCCATTGCATCCCGCTCAGCAAGAGAGCGAAGGTCGCCACCTGCACATGATGCCTGGATCAGGGAGCAGTGAGAGGCACCTCAGTCTTTTCCCAGGCCTTGCTTCCCAGGGAGTGAGAGCAGGATGGGCATCGAGTCTGCCTGGTGACCAGAATTTAGGGGTGTTGGCACCACTCAGGGCTGAGATGGCATGCTCCTGGCGGTGGGGAGCAGGTAGGAGATGTCCTGGAGCTCCTGCCCAGGGGCCAGTGTCCTCTCCCCGTTCTCCCTCCCTCCATGCTTCCTGCTCTAGCCCCAGCCCTCGCATCCTAGCGCTTTCCTCGGGCTGCCTACGCCTTTGTCTTCGCAGCTGCACCGAAGGGGCAGGACACGGGAACTTCTGAGTTTCCTTCTGCATCAGGGTTTTGCTTTTTGGGTCACACCTGGCGATGCACAGGGGTTACTCCTGGCTCTGCACTCAGGAGTTACTCCTGGCGGTGCTCAGGAGACCATATGGGATGCTGGGAATCGAACCCGGGTCGCCGCATGCAAGGCAAATGCCCTACCCGCTGTGCTATCTCTCTAGCCCCCTGCAACAGGGTTTTGGATTTGTCCTCCTCCCCAGGCTCTGTCCGCTGAGGCCATCTGCCTCCCTCAGAAATCAGGGGAGCAGATTCCTGGTTATGAGAGCCCCTGCGCTGGATGCGCCTCTGCCTGTGCCCGGGACTTCTGCTCAAACATGCCTTTGGGCCTGGAGAGAACTGAGGGGCCCTAAGGTCTTTGTTTCCCACTTCTTCCCTGGGGAGGCCAGGGAAGGTGCTAAGCAAAGGAGTTTTGTCATTATTGGCAAGAGGTGTGTCCCACCAGACCCAGGCCTGCACTGACTGTGTGGCCCTCCTCCATGGCATTTCTTTTTTTTTTTTTTTTTTGGCGGGGCGTCCACACCTGGCTGTGCTCAGGCCAACTCCTGGTATTGCACTCAGGAATTGCTCCTGGCAGTGCTCAGGGAATCATAGAGGATGCAGAGTGCCAAGGATCCAACCAGGGCCAGCTGTGTGCAAGGCAAATGTTTTACCCACTCCAGCTTCCATCCATGGGCCTTCTTGAGGTCAGGCCCTCCCCACCAAATGTCAGAGGAAGGCACAGATGCAGATGGTGTGTGTCCCTTGGATTTTTGAGACGATGTGCGGTCTCGGAGGAATCCCCTGACTTAACCTGGGCTGACTAGGGTCTCCCTTTCTGGGTCTTTGATGCTGCTCCTTTTCTTGCAGGTTTTGTACATCAGGAAGAAGAGGAGGTAACTCTCAGCTGCCACTCAAAACTTGGGCCCAAGCAGCACTGGGATGAACTCCAGGAAACGGGGGTGGGAAAGGAGATTCCCCCGCCATCAGGGGCCCCCAGTCTGGTCAGGGAGTCAGAGACGCTTCTACCCACTGAGGTTTGGGGTGACTCTTGCCCTCAAGGAGCATTGAACCCCCATTTTTGGCTGCCCCCCACCACCCTCACCCCTCCAAACTGTACCTCTCACGGGCCTAACCCAGGCAGTCCCCGGGGCCCTGCAGATGGCAGCTCCAGAGCCAGAGAGCAAGGCCCTCTCTGGTCCCCAGGGAACTCGTCCTCCCATCTAAGGGTAGAGCTGGAACAGTGGAGACAGTGTCTTTCACTAAATCCAAGGGAGACCCAGCCCTGCCCCCTGACCCCAGTGTGTGTTCTCTGGCTCAGTCAGACCTCCAGGGCTGGTGGGAGGGAAACGCTTGCCCGGCCTCCACAGCCCCTGCCTGCCCCCAGGTTGGAGAAGCTCCGCCACCAGCTCATGCCCATGTATAACTTCGACCCCACGGAGGAACAAGATGAACTGGAGCAGGAACTGCTGGAGCATGGGCGGGATGCAGCCTCCGTGCAGGCCCTGCAGGCCAAGGTAGGCACTGACCAGCCACAACCCCCCTCCCCCTCCCTCTCCCTGCAGCAGGACAGAGGCTCTTCCACCCCAGGCTTCCTCCTCTCCCGTGTGGCCAGTGGGTGGCAGCTTCAGTTGGTTCAGAGATCTGGAATTGCTCATTGGCCCCTGGGAGAGCCACTGTGCGCGGCCCCGGAGTTTGGGGACCCAGACAGGCTCTCACCTGCTCACCAGTAACTTCAGAAGTCTGCTGGCTTCCTGGGCCATGGGTTTCTTGTTTGTAAGTGACAGATCAGCCAGAGAAATAGTGCAAGGGGTAACATGCTGCTAACCAGCATAAGGTCTTCTGAGCACTACCAGGTCTGATCCCTGAGCACAGAGCCAGGAGCAAGCCCTGAGCACTGCTAGGTATGGCCCAGAAACAAACAAACAAACAAAAGAAAGAAAGAAAAAGAAAATATAAGTGGATAATTTTTGCTCTGTATCCCCCCATACACTGATGAGGCAAACAGTATGGTAAGATTGGTAAGATAACCGGGGATTAAGACCTCAGGTCCTCTGTTGAGGTCTGTAGTTTTAGGAGTTTGAAGTTAAATTTGGGGATGGGGCACCTCTAAGTAGTCTGATTTGGATTAGATCCCTAGTAATAGATAGTTCCCAGGCAGGTGGTGATCCCACCCAAACTTATTTCTGAGTTGAAAAGGCAGGCACCCCATGCGGCCATTCTCTCAGACCCTGTGCCCCCAACCTGAGACCACTAAGAGCCCAAGCACCCTGAGGGGGCCTGGTAGATTGCCCCTTTACACCTGTCCTCCCCTCCATGCGCAGGTGCAGGGGGGGCCAGGCCCTACAGGGGCAGAACTAAGAGTCTGGACTCAGGAAGAGTCCAGGCCAGTTGTCCAGAGAACCATGGTTATGCCACCAGTTCTGCGTGACTGGCTCAGTTCCTGCATCCCCCACCCCCACTCAGTGCTACTCAGGAAATCAGGCTGAGAACCTTGGCCCTGCCAGCCCAGGGGACTATGGACCACTTGACAGTAGTTCTTTTGTGCACCTCCCCGCTGCATGATTAACCAGCACAGGGGTTCATAGGATGAGTGCCAAGCACTGGAGGGCGGGCAGGGAGGAGCCATCTGTCCCAGATCATATTTCTAGGCTGTGCTTGCAGGGAAGGAATTCCAGGCAGAAGGCATGGTGAGTGCCAAGCACAAGCCTGCACCCGGAGGCGGGGTGTGGGGTAAGGCACAGCCTTAGTCAGGGGCTCTGACGCCCTGCCTCTCTGTCTGCAGGTCCCGCGCCCCTCTCAGGGCCCAGTGCAGAGGCCCAGCCGGCTGGTGTTCACCGACGTAGCCAACGCCATCCACGCTTGAGTGACCCCTGATGAGGACGCAGTGCCCGCAGCGCCCAGAGCTCCCACTCCACGACTGTTAAGACCTTCTCTTGGGACTTGTCCCGCTGAAGCCCCAGCTATTCCTCGGCCTGCAGCCCATGTGCCGGCTCAGCGACAGGCCCCTGAGCAGGCCAGGCCCCTCTGTGCTTGGATCTGAGGCCCCAGGATAGAGGCCGTCCCTTGGGTCAGCAGGGTTGAGAGGTGCTGGCTACATCATCTCCTGCCCAGACCCCTCAAATCAGGGTCTGCTCCTCTGATGTGGCAGAGAAGGTGGGAGAGAAGGAGCTTCCCTTAGTCAGGGGAAGATGCTTTGGGGATCAGTAGCTTCCCCTGGAGAGGCCACAGGTGGCACAGGTCTCAGAACCAGGGTAAGGTGGCACCCGGGAGAGGCCCTGGGATGCAGGTGAAATGCCTCAGGCCTAGGGCCCTGGAAGAGGGGTGCCAGTCCCCGAGGACCATCTCTATCACAGAGCATCCCAGGGGTATCCCAGCCATTATCCCTGGAAGCGGGGATCTGAAGAGGGAGGAGAGGGGCAGCAGGGATGAGGGATGCAGCCCCCAGATCTAACACGCCTCATTCACCAATGTGCAAAAGTGGGCCAGCCAGAGGGTCGGAGAGAGCCGGGCTGCCTGTGCAGTATGGGGTAGACCACCCTACCCTCTGTGTCCAGGGCAGGGTGAGAGGGCCACCCTGGCATCTGTTTGTTCGGGTAACCTGCTTCAGAAATCAGGTTCCTGTTTTGGTCAACTTGTGGATCTGGGGCAGCGGGAGAGGCTGCTACGGAAGGGTGGTGGTCCAGAGCTGTGGAAAATTTCTGAGCATCGGAAGCCAGGTCGCGACAGCCCCCTAGAAACAGGCCTGAGCATCCCAGGCTGTTCTTTGGTCCACCCAGCCCACCCCCAGCCCCCACCTTTTCACCCTCAGGCTTCTGACAATCTGTGGCATCTGGGCAAGTCTTGGGCCAAGCCCCAGAAGGGGGGGGAGGTTCTCCTGGGCCTGCTAGCACACTAGAGCCTGCTCAGAAGTACCCCTGGCCTAGTTCGTGCCAGCGGATGGCAGGACTGGAGGGGGTACGGGGGCGGCCTGTGTGGATCTTCTGTTGACAAATGCCACATGTCAGGATGTGAGGGTGCAGGAGGCCCGCGCAGCGAAGGTTCTGGATTTATTCCTTCCTCTGGATGCTATAAATACGTTAGCACTTGAGCCGACTGGAGGGCTGTGGGTAATTTAGGATGCATAGAAGCTGTAATTTAGCTCGCAACATCTCCAAGTGAGCACATTAAAGATGTAATTAAGATGTTTACACGAAGAGAACGTGAGCCTGTGACACACGGGGCGCGAAATCCCAGAGGGGGGCGGCCCGGTGAGGGGCTGGGGGAGGCGCCCCAGCTCTGAGGCGGCCGTCCAGCTGGTTTCCCTCCATCTCACCAATGACACGCCTCTGCCCCAAGTCTCGGGTCGTGCCAGACCTCAAGCCTTCACTGTGGAATGGGGACACCATACCTACATCCCTTAGGGTGAAGGGGGCCTCGTGGACAGGACCTTGTAGCACCAGAAGAGGAGGGAAATTGGGTCCTCAGGGCCAATGTGTGCGTGGCACCTCAGGATCCATCCTGGCTGGGTCTCAAACAAGAGGAACAAAACTGGTGCGGGCAGAGGGCGGCCGGGGGAGACCAGAGAGGAATGTGTGCGTGGGGTGTGTGGGAATGTGCATCTGCGTGTTCGTGCATGTATGTGTATGTCCATGTGTGTAACTCACCTGCAGTGCTCAGAGGGGTTGGGGAAAAGACACTGGGGTGACCAGTTGGCTCGGAGCATTGTTAACAAGCCAAGACCCTCCGTGACATCCAGGGAATCGGTTCTTCAGGCTCGAGTAAGTGGAAATAGGTGTCAGTAAGATCCCGTTCCACAGGGCGAGATGGGTTGGAAAGGGCCTTGGGCAAAGGTGAGGGTCTCCAAGTACCTGCTGACCCCCCAACTAGAGTCAAAAAGCAAGGTCAGGCTGGGGAGAGAGTCCGGTGGCTTGGGTGTTTGCCTTGCACTCACCTGACCCTGGCATCCTATATGGTTCCCTGGGTACCTCCAGGAGTGATCCCTGAGTGCAGAGCCAGGAGTAAGCCCTGTGCACAGCCAGGTGTACCCCCGCCCCTGCAAAAAAAAAAAAAGCAGGTTGTGTCAGTGACAGCCCTGGATTTCTGATGGGCACGGGGTGAGGAGGAGATAGATATAAGTGGGCTGTAAGGCACCACAGGCTGCCCGAGAATGTGAGTCGCAGAAGACCCTGTTTCTGGGGTGCCCTAACAATGGCAGTCTGTAGCATAAACCTGGCATCCTGGCAAGACGGTACCAGGAGGATCCTGTCCACCATTGCTACCCCCTTGAGGCCACTGGGGGGAGGCACAGAGATGCAGAGCCACATCCTGCTTTCTTGTTCCCTCTTCCCGTCCACTCTGCTTTGTATCTTTCCCAGTCGTGGAGGAAAATCAAATGCCCTGCAAGTGTCCAGGTCTCCCACAGAGTGCTGGGTCAATAATTACTGGGGTGAAAGGTTCCAGTTGAGTCCTTGTGACCTTGGCCTGGTGGACAGCTCAGAAGTCTCTGCATCCTCAGCCAGGCAGAGAGAGAGAGAGAGAGAGAGAGAGAGAGAGAGAGAGAGAGAGAGAGAGAGAGAGAGAGAGAGAAGAGGGAAGGAGAGAGAGAGGAACGGGGAGAGGGAGAGAGAGGAAAAGAAGGAGAGAGATAGAGGGGACTGAGGCCTTGCTGCCACTCTTGCTCTAGATGATTAAAGGGGCTTAATGGGACTTCCTGTACAGCTGCCCCCCCCCTCAGTGTATGCCCAATAGTGAAACCCTAGGGAGTAGCAGCCTGGCTCCGGCTGGGATTGATCAGCAGTCCCTGGTATGAGGGTAAGCAGATAGGTGCCCTCAAAGCAGGCTGTCCTTGGGTCTGGAAGTGAAGTGTCACCTCTAGCTGAATAGCTCTGCTACAGGCAGACAGTGGGATGGCTTCAGAATGCAAAGGACCGTTCTGGTCGGGTCTAATCAGGAACTCCAGCAGAGCAAACCAACGACCTCAAATCCCTTCCAGAAACTTCTCTGAACCCCACAGATGCAGGCCTGTCAGTGATACCTCCATTCATGATGGGGTGGGGTGGGACTGGAGAGATAGTACAGTGGGTAGGGCGCTTACCTTGTACATGGTTGGCCTGGGTTTAATACCTGGCACCTCAGCGGGTCCCCCAAGCTCCTCCAAGAGTGAACCTTGAGTACAGAACCAGGATTAAACCCTGAGCACTTCAGGGTGTGATCCCCTTCCCCCCAAAATAGATGTGAGAAGACAGGTGAGAAAGGATAAATGCTGTCATTGTCTACGCGTCTGTGTCTGTCCATGTTACCCAAAAGAAGGTGGAGTCTAGGTGTGTCCAGAGGCCAGGGACAGGCACCCCACTCTACCATGTTCACCATGTTCATCCCTCAATATACCTTGGTGTGGAGGGCCTTGTTTTAGGAAGTGTTTGAGGGAGGTCCCCAAAACTGCTGGTCTGGCATCCCCACCCTGCCCCCGGCTCTGAGGGTTCAGGGTGGAGGAGGGCACCTGTTTGCTGGGATCTCTAGCAAGAAGAATTTGAAAATGCTGAGAAATGAGCGAGAGTGGGAGAGGCAAGAGACAGTGAAGAGCCCTTACCAGCAGCCACGCAGCGTGAGACAAGGTTGTCGTCCCAGATAGGCCTGGACTGGGCCTCACTCTCCCCCATCCCCACCCAGAGCCCCCCCACCCCAGCTGTTTGGGTTCTGCAGGATGTAGGTTGGGCAGGTGTCTTGGCTCTGCAGGGGTTCCTGGACACTGCCACATCTTCAAGAGCTAGCAGAAGGGCAGCTGGTGGAGAAAAAAAAAAAACAGGTGTAGTTATAATCAGGGAAGTGAGCTGTAGGGGGTGCCTGGGAAGAGACACCTTCTAGCTGGGGAGCATGTGGAGCCCTGGTGCTGGGTGAGGAGGGGCTGCTTCTAGGGCTTCCCTCAGTGTTCAATGGGAGGAGCCCCTTCCCTCTCAGCTGAAACTTGAAAGAGGGGCCAGAGAGTTCATCCGGAAGGCCCTTGCCTTTCAAGTGATGAACCTGAATTCGACCTGGCAACCCACTTCTGAATCCCACCAGGAGTGACCCATGAGCACAGAGCCAGGAGTAAGTCCTGAGCACCACCAGGTGTGGCCCTAAAACCAAAAGAAACAAAAAGCAACGAACAAAAGCGCCTATGGAAGTCTTCCAACTTTCAATGCCGGGCTTTGCTGCCACCTGCTGGCAACTATAGGCACTGCCATGATTGTGCCACCCTGAGTCTGATCATCTATCAGGAGACCACGGAGGTCTTGGACCAATCCTCAGATTCTTTGCCTACATTCAGCATCTCCCCATATAGCAAGAATAGCCTCTCCTTCAAGTGACAGACCTTGGCCTGGGGATCACCTGGCAGGACCAGGACTAGGGTGAGGGTGGGGGAGCTAAGGTTGTAGTCGCTTGGCTCTGAGACGCCATACTCACACCAACTGCATGGTAATACCCCCTCACCCACATCAGTCATCTGGGAGCACCCTCTCACCCACACCAACTGCATGGGAGCACCCCCTCCCCCACACCAGCCTCATGGAAGCATCTCCTTAGATGTATGCGCAAGGAGCCTCAATCCTCAGCCTAGTCCTGATCCTGCTCCTTGGGCCCCTCTTGACCAGGGCCCAGCAGGCAGGCACTGAGCTCCAGGATGCGAGGCCCTGGAGGCTAAGCACTGAGGGCAGGGGCCGAGCCCTGGCCTGAGCTCACTGGAGACAATCGTTACCAAGAAGAATTGAAGAACAGCAGATAATCAAAGACTTAAGGGACTTTTCAGTGGCTCAAAAACAGGTCAATATGGAGACACTGAAGCCCCAGATGAGGAAGGAGGGTGGGATTGTGGCTCTAAATCCCTGCTGTGGCTCAAACCCTGACTGTAAACCTGCAGACAGAATAAGCCCCTCTGGCTCCCCTGAAAGTCCAAAGAACAGGCACTGGTGTGCCCACAACTACACATGGAGAAGTTGAGGCACGGGACTATCCAACACGTAGCTTGCAGCAGGGCTTGGTCTGAACCCCTGTGGGTGCAGAGCTCACTTGAGACCCCCACAGGAGGAAAGACGTGCCCGCGCCCCTCACCACCATGTGTCTTCTCATGCTTCCCCTCCCCAAGGCCTTCCCAGCTCTCCTGCAAACACCTGGCTGGGTTCTGGAATTGAGGGGTACCCATATGGGGCTGGGCCTGGAAGAGTCCTGTCCTCTGGGAATGCCAGGACGGCATTCACCAGGAATGATAAGAGGGTCTAGAATTCAGAGGAACCATCGCTGCTGACTGGGGGCAAGACAGGGCCTTCCTGGCTCTGGACCCCATGTTGGGTTTGGGCATGAGGTAATGAGACATTTCAGCTGGGTGGGGGACAGAGGGGTAAGGGTGGGTGGGCTTCTTCACAGTTGAACATGGACACAGAGCTCTCACCAGGGACCCCTGACAACATGCAGGCCTCCCCTTGTCAAGGCCAGACCCACGTCGTACCCCGATGTCCCGGCTGAGTGCCCTCTTGTCTTCTGTGCCAGCGTGGGGCTGGAGGAGCAGTCAGACGCTGTACTGTAAGAATCACCAGGCCAACGGAATGCTGAACGATTCCCAGGGAGACGCTGCATCCGCCCATGCTGCCTCTAGAGGGCCTCCGAGGCTGAGCCCACCAGCAGTACTTTTCCCTGGAGGAGGGAGGCTAACCAGGGCGGTCAGTTCTGAATCATTCCCCAAGTGACCGCCTGGGGGCGATGCAGGCCCAGATGGGGGGTGGGGCAAGGCTTGGGAGGCGCCTCAGGGGAAATTTGACCTTGATGTCTTTTCCCAGTCTGGAAAAGCGAAGCCTGGGTGACCGGTGTTCCCAGAAAGCTGGTTCCTCCCTGCTGGGAAGCCCCA